TCTATAGTCTCTCAAATCTGATTTTATTTCATGTCACTTTGATTTTTTTGCTGTCATTTTTGCATAAGCATGGGTACCAGTATTTAAATTTATTCTAATATATAAGTAAGGAAACTTCCATCTAAACTAAGAAGTCACTTACTCATGTTCACCATCACTGATCCAAATATATATTTATATTTTCTGAAATTGAAATGCAAATTCAGTTGGTTTATGTATCTTACTCTTGGCATTAAAAAATAGGATCAGGCTGTCTTTCTCTTTAGTCTTTCCAACAAAACGAAATGTTGGAAATAAATTATGTAAAGAGGATCATGAGTCTATTAGTCAACATAACTCTCTGAAAATGGAATATAACAGGACCAAATTTGGTGTGGCAGGGAGATGGCAACTAAAGAAAAAATAAGTTAAAATGGGCTATATGCAAGGGGCTGTCAACCAAAGCAAAAGATACCAACAATGAAAATCCCAGAAATTTTCCCTTAATACAACCTCATGGAATTGGCAGTTGGACAGCTGTGCTGAATGTTGCCAACTCCTTTCTAATCATCTTTCCACCAAGGAGAATTCCAGAAGCCATGTTCTGTAATGCTTTTCCTACTTTGTTATTATTCCAAAGTAAGAAATTACACAAAGGACAAGGGACTCTCCCAAGCCTGAACAAATTTAGGATGAGAGAAGATGCAAAAATAAATACTGAACTCAAACAATGTCTCCAGTTATCCAGTATCAAAGACTTGATATTACTTGTGCTCTGTGGATGAATTGAGTATAGAAATAGACTATACATAGATGATTGCAATGAAGTGACATCCAGGGAAAAAATGGCAAAGGTAGCTTGATGAAAAGCAAAACCAACAGAATTTAGAGCCAGCAAGGAGCCCAGATGTTTGATAATTCCTGTCCAAACAAGGAAAGGATTTGAGATTACCCTCAAGTGTCCAGTCTGCTGCTTCTCACAATGAATATGCAAGAAAGTGGTATCTGGAGGGTTTACAGCTCTGGCAGTTGAGGGAATAGCTATCTTGTTGAAAATGCAGCTATCACTTTGAAAGGACCCGGGGTTCTTCCTGTTCTAAGGAAGTACTAAGCAGATGCTTCCTTTTCTAATAACTTTTTGAAATTGCTTATTAACTGTTTTTTTTTTCTGAGTAACCTTGAGATCAATATGTTTTATAGCATCAGGTAAGTTTTCTGAAATCTTTAATGAAAGCAGTTTTAAATGTAAGTTTAGAGACTTAAATTTCTTTTGAATAAATAGCAAAAGTATGATTGGAAATTTTATTTTAGAAAGTTACAAATGGAGTAAGGGTCCAGATAAATTCCAAATAGGATTTTGGAATTAATTATAAAAAATCCTTCCCAAAGGAAAAATGCATTTGTTTTGAATTATTTTTTTAAAAAGATAATAAGATAAAAACTTGGACACTAAAGGGAACTAGAAGGAGCTAAAGGCTAAAATTAAGGAAAATGATCACTCAATCTTGACTTACAAACAGAGAATGAAGCAAAATATTTTAACATTGGGCATATTGTAGAAAATTGTTGAACAATGGACCCAGCGGTTAATTTAAAAGAAAAGAAAGGAATGCAAAATTGGTTTACTTGATCAGGGTTAATATGAATATGTTGTTATCTGAAACCTTTAATGGATTTTTTGGTGTCATCAGAACTGAAATAATACATTTTTATGGATTTGCTTATAGATAAAAGATAGGATATGGAAAAGAGAGATTTTGTATTTTAAGAAATTGTTTATACTTGTTGTGATGGAGGAAACCATTTTTATATATTTATTTTCTTTTTCTTACAATATTTTTATTTTTCTGTATCTTCTATTTTTTCTTTTTTAAGTGTATTAACTTTTATTATTGTAATTTTTAATAAAATTGAAATTAAATGTACCTGTCTTTTAATGAATATTATATAAAAAATAAAATATACGTGTGTGTGTGTATATACACCCACACACCTATATGTATGCATACAAACTGATAATCCATTATTTATACTATTTGTCATGTAATTGCATTGCTACTCTTTTTAAATTATTTTTAATGCATTTTTATTGATTTTTCCTGTTTTATTTAATTAAAAAAATAAAGGAAACAAAACTTCATTTTTTAAAAAAGTGCCTCATAAGTGTAACTTTTAAAGTTGTGCTTGAAATATGTTTTCTTCAGAAACTACATGTGTCACCCTACATAAACAGAGGCACACACAAACATAGTGGCTAATATTTGTTAGTACAATTTCATTAAAATAAAATAAAACTTTTGCAATCATTTTGTATAAGGTTGATAGCAATCACAGATAATAAAACCAACTGTAATCTGCTGAAGGCTAGCACTGCAGGATTTACAAATGAACATTGTTAAATATTACTTTGAGTCAGAATAATTATTTTGAATTTTTGAATTAAAATAGAAAATAAAATGTATTTTTAAATCTCTAAATATGTCACAAGGAAGACTGCATACTAACACAAAAATTACTTCATATAAAAATTAGCACATCCTGAGGCCTTTGAAAATGTCCCCCTTCTGTGGAAACAACAACAATTTACTTGGAAGTATCTGTTATCATTGTGCATTCTTTACTATCATCAACAATTTTAGTATCAGCATCTTAAATGTTCTTTGGGAAATACTTCTCGTATCTTTTTAAAGATTGAATTGCAATTGTTAAACTTTCATCTGATATCACTACAAATCTGCATGTGTTAGCTTTTTATTGGCAGAAGAACAAGCAACATCTCCATGGAAATGTAACTTCAACATTGATCTGCTAAACCAAAAATCTTCACTTTTCAAATTTAAGTATTTTAGAGCTTTAGCTTTTATTTTGTTGCTGTTTATATATAGCAGTTGTAAACCCCTTATGCATTACATTGTTTAACTTCACGTACCATCTGCCTAAAGGCTTGCTTATATTCAACACCTAATCACTAAAGAGAAAATGGTAGTACCATTGCTTTTTCCATCATTTTAGTAATAGTTAGGACTATATTCTGTATAAGTGATAATTCAAGGATTTACCGTAGCTAGCTCTGTCTTTTTTTTTTTTTCCATTATATTCACAGGCCATGTTCTGTTAAATCATAATGCTTTTATCTGTACACTTAAAAATAAAAAAAATCATTTTAAGCATTAATCTGCAAGGGGAGATTATGAAGAAAAAGAATCAGTTTAATCAGAACAGTGTTATTTGCCTGATAATTCTTTTTATTCCCCTCCTCCCTTCCCAGCAAACATTGCCATCTGAAGGAAAAAATAACAACAGCTTCTCACTTCCTAGTAGGATAATGGGAGTAAAAGAGCGGAGGTGTGATTTCATGATCACAGCAAGCTGTGTTTTATTCAGAATTTTAACTATAATGTTCAAAAAGTGTTCTGTAACCACATGGAAACCATGGCATGGGGAACAGATTGTAGGAGGGAGATTGTGAGGTGGGCTAAGGAGAAAATATATTAAAAGAAATCAGAAAGTATTTTTGCTTATGTAATGTGACCACAGTGCAGCTCTGATTTTATACTCAAATAAAAAGCACTGTGGATAATGAAATATTCTGCTTTCTTATCATTCTCCAAAAGGGGGTGATTTATATTACAGTATATGTCTAGTATTGGAAAAATATTGGGAATATCTAGTATTGGAAAATTGAAATACAGCAATATTCCATGCAGTAAAGGGAAAATATGGGCATAAAACTAGAATATATAAATTCATTCCTACTTGCCTTAAGCCCTACAGAAATTGTTGCAGTGTCTTTTTAATGCAGTCAGTTTGGGGCTATTATTTGAGATTAAAAAATCAGAAGCAGTTTAAGTAAAGGAAAAGAAATCTATACTGATTAAAGAATATTCTGATTCATAAGATGCAGCTCAAACTTGTCCTACTTAACAGATCTAGTACTTCACTAGTACAAGAATTTTACATTTTTGCTGAACATTTGAAATGATCTTATTTATCAAGATGATTAATTCTAGGCTTCTAAGATGATTTTGCAAACACTGCAAAGATGGGTAGAATATTTTTATATGTACAAGAGGCAAGACTGATACAACCACTAGGCAAGGTTAGACTGTTATATAAGGGAAATTAACTTGCTTCAGTATAATATTGATTTAATTTTAAATTAATTAAATTAAATTAATTTTCATTTCCTAGATCTGTATATGTACTAAGAATCTGCATTTCTAAAAATTTTGCAGTGCAGTTTACAACTCAAAAATATACAATAAACTTACATTAAATAAAATTACTTGCAAAAATGAAGATTGCTTTTTGAAACATAAATACTAAAAAATTGCATAATTACAGGCAAAAGTGTTCCAAAATCTGTATTGGAAGAGTTAATTGCATGAGTTTTCAGGTGAGTAAATTGGTATTTATGATTTTAAAGGCTAGAAATTATATGTATCTGTTCTCTATTCTTCATAATCTGTTAGTCTGGTTTGAGCAAAAAGCTTTGCTACCAATATTAAAACAAAAATTGCTTTAATTTTTAATAAAAACCGAATTAATTAAAGTTTTTAATTATATGAACAAAAAAGAAAGATTACCTTCAATTTAAACAATGTACTTCAATAGAAACATTAAAGAAAGACAATTGTCACCATTATCCTGCAGAAAAATAAAAAAAGTCAGGGATAGCTAGGTCTAGTTAACAGGAATTTCCAGCACCTGAGCATTAACCTTTTTGGGAATGCCTACCATTTTATCCAATATCTATGCCAACTGATGGCAATGGGAGCAGAATAAAGTCTCAGATGTAGATGATGAGTTTCATGTGCATTTGTCTTTTCATGTAACAGGGAATCATAGCACGTAATACACATTATTTACCCAAACTGTAACTTAGACAACATCTTAACATATCAACTGATAATACAGACACACTCCTACTCATTTCCATAATTGGTGGTCCAGAAATCTCACCATATGATCATTTTTGAATTTGTATCCTATAATAATAATAATAATTAAAACAGACTTACTTGAGGGTTGTGAGCTCTGTAAGTGATGGCTGGGTGGCCTTAAGATAGCTCTCTCTGCGTGCAGCAATCTTTGGAGATGCCTTTGGGCTAGTGTCTGAGTCTCCACTGTCATCATCTCCCATGGCTTTAATGTAGCTGCCACTACGCATTCGCCGACAAGGAATCTCTTCATCTTTGCCACGAGGAGTATATCCAGACCATTCATCTTGAGGAACCTATAATGCAAAATCTTTTCAGTTTGCTCAAAGAACACTGATGCTAAATCCAAGCTTATCAAATTCTCCCAGAAGCAATATAGGGTTGGGGGAAGCCAAAGCTGATTCTGTGATTATATCAAGGTATATTATACCATGAAGTAATTTCTTTGCAATAGTCATTGCAAATTAACTGCTTAAACTGTTCAGCAGAATACGCATATCTAATAAGATTCTTATAAATGAAGCATCAAGCTTTCATTCTGCATTACTGAAGCTTTTGTATGCAAACCTGACCATATCCCCAAACTTCTCTGATAGACAAAATGACAAAGAGGCATAATCTATTTCTCAAAACTGTTTTGACTTGTACTTTTTGTAGAGAAGTACCACTAACTTCTTCAGGATTCAGCTTCTTTGAACTATTAAATGGGGATTTTATCAAAAGACTAATGGGCTACATAAACATGGTACTGTGACTTGTCTAAAATTAAAATTTCTAGGACCAATCTGGGTCAGTCACCAGGTCCAGAGATTTAGTGTTCTGAGCTTTTGGACTCTTGCTGGAGCCCATCCTCAGGGAACTTCTCTCCAGCAAGAGTCCAAAAGCTTGGAAATCTAAACCTCTTGTCCTGGTGACTGACCCAATTTGGATTCTGCAACATTTTCCTGGAACACATATATTCACCTTCATTTGTTAAGATTTCTAGCTGGTCTTGGACTTGCTGATTAAGTTTATAATTATAATACAAAATTTTATCAATCTGGATTTATTAATTCAGAAATTTCCAGATTCATTGAAGATTTAGAATTAATGTGATTCAAACGTTCAGAAGGAATATGTTGGATTTCATCTGATGAAATTAAATATTAGAAAAATTAAATCAAAAATAAGAAATTCTTAACAGTAATCAGTAAACATATTCCAGAATCCCACTCTTCCGGATACTGATCTACTCATGCCTGTTACAATAATACCAATGTGTATCTACAGGTAGTCGTCAGGTTACAATAACAATTGGGAATAGAATTTCCATCTCTAAACAATGTAGGCATAAAGCACTATGTCATGTAATTTCACTATTCAGCTACGACAATTCCAGCAATCCCAGTTGCCATGGTATCCTCACAACCACAAAGGTCATTAAATGGAAAGTAATGGGAGTTCAAGGCAAGCTGGACAGTGGTTGAAAGCTGTCGGTGAGAGTTATGGGGGGTGAGTGCAGGGGAAAGGTGCTATGAAATACCTGTAAGTGTGCAGTGTTGCAGGCAATAAGTGTGTTTGTGCCACGATTAGTGAAAAAACAGTGGGACGGGGAATGACTTTCAACCTCTTGCTGGTTTCTCAATTGACTTTTCTTGGGGTAAGCCAGCAGGGAAGGTTACAGTGATGATGGGACACTGCAACGATTGTAACAATGAACCAATTGCCAAGTGCTCAAATTATGATTATGTGATTGCGGGGATACTGCAATGTCTGCAACTTTATGGATTGGTAAATAGTCACGCTCATTCTGTGCCATTGTAACTTTGAATGGTCACTGAACCATTGTATCCCTAGGATTACTTATATATGTAAATTCTTACAGGCTAAGATACCATTTACTGAGAATATACCCACTTCCTTTGCATTTCTGTTGATTGATAGGATTGAAGAAACAATTTAAATGTAAAACACATTTTCTTTGATAGATTTTGATAGATCGTATCCATAAAAGTAGGAAAAGATGAAACATGGATCTCAATATTGTGATCTCACAGTACAAATTCAAAGTTGTAGAGCTTTGTCAGTTTGGCATATTTATAGTAAGCTGCAGAAATCTCTGTCAATAGATTCAATAAATTTATTTTTCCTATTCCCATGCATGGAACATCAACCCAAGGATAGATCCCAAAATGGCATTTAGAGGATGACACAAATATCATTTAATGAGTACGTGCAATTCATTACTTGAATGACCCTGGCAAAGAAAGTTACTCTTACTGATCCAAATACAGAACAATTCAGTTAAAAAAAAAAAACATTGGAAAATAGGAAAGTGGTACTCCCTTATCTTACAAATCCAACAATCTGTACACTTCACGAGCAACCTAGCAAGAGAGTTGCTATATTAGTGTGATGTAATTCTGGACAATACAGCATTCTAAAGGTTTATGAACACATTTTATTAAAATGGTTTAATATACAACTTTAATGTATAAATTGAATAGCCTGAAGACCCAGGCAGGAAGTATTAATTCCAAAGAAGCATCAATATAACATTCTGAGATCTTACTTGCAGTTTTACTCTTATGGTTGAAGACAGTAATTGCTTCCTTTGCATCACATCTATATTATGCTGTTCTAAAATAAAGCAGGGAGCCAGTAGTGGTTAAAGCATCAGGCTAGAAACTTGGAGATCTTAAGATTAAGTCCTGCCTTATGCACAAAGCCAGCATGGGCAACCTTGGGCCAGTCACTTTCCCTCAGTTCTAAGAAGGAGGCAATGGCAAACTAATTCTGAAAAACCTTCCCAAGAAAACTTCAGGGATTTGTCCAGGAAGTCAGTGAGAATCAGACACAATTGGACAGAAGCAAAAACAAACAAACAAACAAACAAAAAAGCATTCTGCATCAGTAAACAGCTGAATTTTGTAAACTAAGTTCTTTGTATACTTTTAAAAAGTATGTATATGGAGAATCTCAGCCATCCAGGTCATGAGGCAACTGAACTTTCTTGTTTTTGTTTAAAGACATTTCGCTTCTCATCCAAGAAGCTTCTTGGATGAGAAGCGAAACATCTTCAAAGTTTTTAAAAATATATTTCTAAGCTTTAGGCTTCAACTTACTGTACATCACTTTTTTCCCTAGCCACAAGTGTTGACTACAATGTGTAAAAATATTCTCTCCAAAATAGCTTTCATTCCTGTTTTATCCTTCACTTGAATTTTACAGCAAAATAACAGTAACACAAATGAAAGACTTAGCCCTTAATTGTTTTTTTAAACTTTTTTTTTAAAAAACTTCATTTATTCAGTACTTTACCTTGGAACAAGCAGCAAAAACCAGTGCAACCAAGTTAGATGGAGATTCTACAGCAGTGTTTTTCAACCTTGGCAATTTGAAAATGTGGACTTCAATTCCCCAAATTCCCTAACTACTTTGTTTACCTGGGGAATTCTAGTAGCAGAAGTCCACACATCTTCAAATTGTCGAAGTTGAGAAACACTATTCTATAGTGTCCCAGGTGCCAAATCAACAATTTACTTGTTTTCCTGGTTGGGCATTGGAGTTGGTGAAACAAGGTATAGAAGATCTTAAAGTCATTTCTACTAGTATGCCAAATATTCTATGAGGGTAATTCGGAAATAAATCTCCATTTGGTTATCAATGACAGATACTCGCAGATACAGAACTTTTATTATACACATTAGAAAACCACACCATTACATTACTTTTTGACATAATTGTCATTCAAATTGAGGCACTTGTAATAATGTCTTACAAGATTTGAAATTCCTTAGTAGTAGTCGCTCGGCGCCAAATCTGGGCTATGGGGGTGATCAAAAACATCTCAATAGAACTGCTTCAAAAGTTCTTGGGTGCATCTAGCAGCATGCGGGTGAACATTATCATGAACCAACACCACACCGGTGCCATAGAAAATCCCGCCAAATGTGAAAATGCCAAAGGAATACTGCTAGTGAAGTTAATGGAGTGTGGTTCGAGCATCAATACAGAAGTCTACTATAAAATATTAAAAAAACTCAGATGAGCCATCCATAACAAGTGTTGGGCTTGCTGACTTCCGGTGTGGTGTTGGTTCACAATAATGCTCGCCCCCTATAGCCCAGATTTGGTGCCGAGTGACTATTACTAAGGAATTTCAAACCCAGTAAGACGTTATGACAAGTGCTTCAATTTGAATGGCAATTATTTTGAAAAGTAATGTAATTTTCTAGTTTTCTAATGTGTATAATAAAAGTTCTGTATCTGCAAGTGTCTGTCATTGATAACCAAACAGAAGTTTATTTCCAAATTGCCTTCGTATTTTGAGGAATGTTCTGGACCCATTTTGAGACTGGTCTATTTCTGAAACAGTCAGAATGACCCAAATACTCAGAGGTCATTTCTCTAGGAAGATTTTAGTTAATCCAATATCGTCCTCTTTCCCCAACCTTGTCTCTCCACAGAGTTCTAGAAAGAAATAAAAAGAAATCCCTATCCTAGAATTGATTTTTTGGTGTGGGATTTAATTTGATTGCTATAAACACTAGAGGTGACTACTGAAAAAACCATTAGGACAAATGGGTAAATCTATTATTTAACACAAGTTGAATTTGTTTAAGACTGTAATTCTATTTCTGGAATGTATCAGTATCATTTTCCGAAGTTAATTACATATATGGTGATCTTCTTTTCCTTTTCATCCTCGTAAACCTTGTAAGATATATAAATTGAGACAAAATGAGAGAGACAGGAGAAAATGACCACCCTAAGAACTCCGTGGCAGAGCAGTAATTTGAAATTGGCACCCTCTGGTTCTAGCCCAACAGTCTAAGCATTATCCCACACTGGCTCACTGAACCATGAATGAAATTAAGCAAACCTACAAAGCAAGACAACTATTTTTTTCCCCATGAAGAGTTGAAAGACTGAAAGGAAAAAACAAATGATGATACATTTTTTTATTTCAATGTCAACATTATTCATCTTATACAAAATTATTTTAATCACTTTAAAAAAATTGAAATAAATCTGTTTTTCTTAGGAGTTTAGTACAAATACAAATTTCTTACAGTGGGGTATATGAAATCCATACAGTGTTTGGCTGCAAGTACACAATCTAATTCAAATAAAGTATTTAATAAAATAAACATAGGACACCATTTTCTCTATCTCCCTCCAAAATAAAATGTCTCTAATATAAATGTTTCTATCATGTATGTATACTAAATGATTTATTATATTCTTAGCAAGGAATTCACTACTGTTTATTATCTATTACATGTTCTGAAATATACAACAGATAAATTATATTTTTAATATTGTAATAACATTGATTAATATATTGAGTATGATATCCTTTTTTCTATAATTCACTTTGAATTAAGCTGATAAATAAAATAATGAACTGCACAGTACACCCTTCTGAGTAAACTGTAGGCTTTTTGTGTTGTTTCAATACAATTCAAGTCCTAAATAAAGCAAAATAATAATAAACCAACAATGAAAGTAAAATAGCATAATAATTTGTGCAAGAACATTCCTTAAACATCTTAACTGCAGCTGAAATATAAATACGTACATCATACATTCTTCTAAAATAGATTCTCTTCTCTGATTTTTTTTTTGCAGGGGGAGGGGGGAATTATCTCTTATAATTTCTATGATCTTACCTTGTATGGTGAAAAAGCAAATAGACTTGTTTTGTAGCATAACAAGTTCATTATTCATATCAGTTCTGCTATACTTTGGTGCAGCTGGGAACATTTAAGCTTCTTTTGGGCTTCCTGACGGCAAATCTGAGTTTGAAAATAAACAGGAGGTCTAGGAAGGAGGAGTGGTTGGCTATCACTCACCACAGGAGAGCAAGTAGAACTTTCTATTAATATGCAAATATTTAAAGGAAGTGAAATTACACTACTGAAGAACAATGACTAATGATTGCTTACTATAGATTTTCAAATCAATGCTTTTTAGGATTTATTATGGATTTTATATGTGCTATTCAATATTATTTGTTAACTTTGTTGTTGCTGAAATCTATACATTTCTAGAGAGTCATTCTACAAAATAAAAGGTAACATTTGTGCTTATTCCTAAAGATTGCATGTTAAAGCAGATTTTTAACTTACATTAACTATTAAACAGATGTTAATATGTGAATGAATGTCATCTCTAAAAAAGGTATTTGAGATTCTGAGAATAACAGATTGAATGTTGTTTGATCTAGTAATCCTTCCCTTCCCTCAACCATGTTTTTTATTGGAAACAAACCATACTTGTCCTGTCTATAGGATAGGCTGTACTAGAGATTAAACATATTTGCTTTTGTTTTGTTTTGTAGTTTTTTTTGGGAGGGGAGGGGAGTGTAGTAGAATGAGTGGCAGAACCTGTGGCCAGAGTTAAAAGAGGGATCAGTCTAGAACCCCTATGTAGTCACAAGCAAACTATGTCCAATTTCCCTTTAATTTTGTTGACCCCCCTTTTAATGCCAACTGTTAGTTGAGGAGATTCTTATGCATAGGTATGATAGGGAGATTGCAAACATGCATATTTTTACTTATTTTACACGAAGTTATGGAATAAAAATGTGATGTAACAATAAAAAGCTGTTATAATATCTGAATTTATGTTAATTATGTAATTTAAAAAATATTTGCCATGAAATCTCTTATGACAAAGCTCATGTGCTCAACTAAAGCAAATAAGTTTGAAAAGGAATTGGTCTTAAAAATGAATGATTAAACATTATAATTAATATAAATCTTTCACCTCTTCAGAATCAATATTACATATGAGACTATGGGCGACAATTTC